GCGCTGCCGCCCGGCGTGGGGGCGGTCGCGGCGGCGCTGGCGCCGGCGAACCGGCCGCTGATGCTGTTGTCATCGGGCATGCTGCTGACGTGGCGGCCGCCGCAGGCGCGACAGGTGTGCGCGGGACTTCGACCGCCCCGCAAACGGCGGCGCGAGGCGCAGCAACGCAATGCGAAGCAATGTGCAGCGTCAACGCGTCGGCCGCCGCACAGCGCTGTTCACTCGATCGACGCTCGCCCTCTCTGCAGCACGCACTCGCGGGCTCACGCAGCCACCCACGCTACCAGCTGCCCAAGCCCATCCCTTTTTACTCATTTTCAGATCCGTGCCGACACCAAATCTTGAATGTTCACACCCCGCAAACAGCCGTGGCCCCGCCCCTCCGCTCCACACCCACGCGCAGGCCGCAGACATAGCAGCGCTGCTCCTCACGCGCCTCTCGGCCGCCCTCTTCGTCTCCGCAAACGCCCTAGCCCTCCTCGGCGCCCCGCGGCCCGCGGCCCTCGGCCCCCTGCTCGCCGCGCTGATCGCGGGGCTGGCCCCGATTGACGGCAGCGCGCGCGGCTTCGCGCGCGGGTTCAGGCTCAACGAGCCGCTCGCAGCGGCGGCGGCGGACGCGTCGGCGCTGGTTTGCATTCCAGCAATCGTCCTCGCCATCGCGTGCGCGGCGGCTGCGGGGCTGCTGCCTACAACGACTGCCGGCGCGCTCGGCGGGCTCGCGCCGGGCGCGGCGGGTGAGGGGGGCCCTGATCGGGAACGAGGGCTGCCGTGCGCTGCTCGCCGCACATGCGCTTTTAGCTCGTCGCAGCTGCAAACATGTGAATGGAAATGGGGAGATCCACGTGAACACCGCCACGCATGAAGTTAGCGCAGTGATTCGCCCCTGCCTCCTTTGCGCCTGCCAGCCCTCTGCACCTCACCCTCTCACCTCCGCAACTCTGGACCGCCCTCCCGCCCCTGCCTGCTCAAATTCCAGCCGCGGCGACGCCATACGCGACCGGGCTGCTACTGGCCGCGGCGCTGCTGTGCGTCTCGGCGGGGCCGCTGCACGGCAGGCTGCGGGCCGACAGGAGGGTGAGGATGGTGTATGCAGGCGCGGGCGCGGGAGCCGCCGGGAATGTGGGAGTCGCGGGTGTGGGCGGCAGCGGCGCCTCTGGCCAGCAGCAGCAGCAGCAGCAGCAGGAAAAGCAGGAGCAGGAGCAGGAGCCGGGGTCCTATACAGGGGGCAGCGGCGGCGGCGGCGCACAAGGCGGGGAGGGGCCTCGCCAAGGCGACGGCTCGAGGGGGCCGCCGCCGGCCTCGGCGGCGGCGTGGGGGCGGCGGCGGGACGCCGGGCATTCCGGTCGTCCGGTGGGGCACCCCCGCGGCGGCTCCGCCCCCTGGGGTCTGCGCCTGGTGCGCCGACCGCTGGCCGCCGCTGCGGCGGCCGCGGCGGCGCTCCCTCGCGTGCCGCGGGCTGTGCGGCGGCCGTGGCGCGCGGGCGCACCGGCAGCCGCGCAGGCGGGCGGTGCCGGCGTTCGTGCCTTGTAACGATCATGCTTATCCAGTTGGTTGATGGTCAGGGAACGGAGTGATTGACGCGGCGTGGGGTGGGGTGGGAGGGAGCGTAATGCGGTGGAATGGTGGGTGGGTGGGTAGCTCATGTGGCACCTCCCATTTCACAGGCCAGGGAGGGACGATGGACAGTCTGCTGTCAGCTCGCCTGCCCTGGCCGCCCAAAACGCATGATGACCCAGGGTGTATGTGCCGAAGCGGTTCCCCACGTGAGCTGAGCCCCAGCCGGCCAGCGGCCGCTCGACGCGCTCGACTGCCGGGGCCCCGCCACTGGGGTGACTGCCCCACGCTGGGCCGACCCAGGACGCCTGGCGGCGTGGGGGCGGTGTGGGGCCCAGGCGTGCGGATGGGAGGGGGCCGGCGTGTGGGGGTTGCAATCTTGGTATGTCAAAATGGCACTGGGGGTGTGGCATTGCTGGGGCTGAGGTGATGGGGTTTAGGGCCAATCGAGCTAGAGGGGCATTGCTAATGGGGCGCTCCGCCCTGCGTGCCGCCACGCCAGGCGCGGACCTCGGCGGGCGACTCTGTGGGGGGCCGTGTGTTGCCTGATGTAGGCTATGTGGCCGCCGACGCGCCCTGATGCGGCCCCCGTTGATGATGAGCATGTCCGCGCCAGGGCGC